TGTCAATGATTTTTTTAATGTTGAATACATGTTGAAATTACATGGTTTTGGATATACTGGGTTACATAAAATAAATTATTAAAATTAATTTCACATGTTTCTTTTTACATTTTTAAATATGACTACTAGAAAATTTAAAACTGTGTATGTGGCTCACATAATATTTCCATTGGAAAGCACTCACTCAAACTTTAGCTAGGAAAAAAGCCAAGAAGCAAACTGATGGTATTTGAGCAGGCCTATGATACAATCAAAGAAATAATTTTTAAAAGACGAACATGGCAGTCCTGTACAAGAGGCAATGAGGAAGATTCGTAGGGAAACCAGCCAGAGATATTATCAATGGTCCAAACTAGGCTGATGACAGACAGGGAAGAGGATGAGGGGATGCAGTATGAATGATGAAAGAAAAACCAACAGGACCTGGGACCAGTCTGGCATGGGGATCCCAAAGAAGAAAAGCAGGAATGGTCTACCTCCAGTCCTTAAGGAATCTAACACTTTCTTAGCCTCTTCTAAATCTGGGCCCTACAACCAAAAAATAGAATACGCAAAGAGACCAATTTAAGATGCAGACAAGTAAGTCCCCCAACTGTCTTCCCCTAGGGAGGATGGCCCTGCTCGGACCAGTTTGTTTCATTTGCTGCAACATGGTTAGACCTGGAGATTGTCATTCTAAGTGAAATAAGTCAGAAAAAGAAAGTGTATGATATCACTTATACGTGGAATCTTAAAGAAACAGACACAAATGAACTTATTTATAAAACAGAAGCAGACTCACAGACACAGAAAACAAACTTATGGTTAACAGAGAGGAAAGGGAGGAAGGATAAATTAGGAGTTTGGGATTAGCAGATACAAACTACTATATATAAAATAGATAAACAACAAGGTCCTACTGGATAGCACAGGGAACTAAATTCAGTAGCTTGTAATAACCTATAATGAAAATGACATGAAAAAGAAGGTATATATATGTGTGTGTGTGTGTGTGTGTAACTGAATCACTATGCTGTACACCAGAAACAAACACAACATTGTAAATCAACTAAACTTCAATAAAATTACAAACAATAATAATGATGATACTACCACTGGATTTGTTAGCGACGGGTTTACAGGTGAATTGCTTTCCTTTTTCTGCCAATGCCACTCTATTCAGTTAACACAATTACTATTAATTAATTCAATTACTCAAAAAATTTGAAAGAAACTACTCCACCTTAAGACCATGTGAAGAACATCAGGGCTGAGCCAACTGTTGACCTGTCCCATCCCTCTGGGAGTAGGCTGCCCTGGAAGTTATCTAGCCCAACCCTATTTCAATGACCGTGGCTAAGGATCTAAGGTGAAAAAAAACAAAGAAATGCCAAAAAGCCAGAGTTCTTATGCTTTGAAATGCCTACCTTAGAAGGTAGATGTGAACATTAAGTAAGTTAAGACATGCCAAATGCCTAGCACAGGGCTTGGCATACAGCGAGTGCTCAAAGTTAAAGCAGAGTCAGTCCCTATTGTTTGCAAATGCCATATTTGTGAATTCACCTACTAAAGTTGATTAACCCCCAAATCAACACTTGGGGTGCTTTCATGGATGTGCATGTAGCAGTGAAAAACAGGAGCCATCTGACACACAATGTTTCCAGCTGAGGTCACATTGGGTAATACTCTGCCTTCTTGTTTCAGCTCTCTATACCACTGTCCTTTCCATGGTTTATTTAACGCCATCTTTTTTTTGTTTTTTTGCAGTCTTAGGGTTTGTTTGGTGGTGATTTTGTCACTTAAAATGGCACCCACATGCAGCAGTACTGTCTAGTGTTCCTAAGTAAAAGAAGGCACTGTGACGTGCCTTAGAGAGAAAATACATGTATTAGACAGGCTTTATTCAGACAAGAGTTACAGTTGCCTTTATAGTCCAGGCTGTTGGCCTTGAGTTCAATGAATGAATCAACAACATATATTGAATAAGGGTGACTTTAAACAAAAATACACACAAAACAGGTTATGGTTTGATTGGCTGATGAAACGTTGCGACCAGAAGTTTGCCAGAACCTAATCCTGCATTTCCCATAGGAGCCATGGTTCAGTATGTGCTAATTTAGTGTTTGAGGTGACCTGATAAAAGATAACTAATACATATAATGAGGATTACCTGTACATGTAGATGAGTAGGAGGACTTTTCTTACTTAGCTAACTTTTAATAACAAGAGTCTCAGCCTGCTGACTGGAAGGCTGCTTGTCCAAGTTAAAAATAGCTAGCTAAACCCACAAACGGTGCCAGGAACATTTTTGGGATGAATTCAGGAAAGGTCTCTATAGTATATATTGCTCCAGACTGCAAAGTGGTGGCTCTTCGAACAGACCCTAGTGGGATTATGCTGTCCAATACAAAAGAAAAAAAAAATCACAAACCAGTTCACTTAGTTACATATATATGTATTTTATGGGTATATTGCACAGAAAAGTCTATAGGTCATATAATAATATGTTAATAATATCTGAGAGCTGTGATTGCTTTCCCTGAAAAAAATGCTGAAAGGCATATAGAAGAAAGTAATAAAGACAAAAATGAAAGAAAGCAGAATATACTATCTCAAGTCACAGTGCCACTGAATGGCTACTGACCACTTGAAAGGCAGCTAGTTCAAATGGAAATGTGCTGTAAAAATAATACATGCTGTTTTTCAAAGACTTAGTACCTGTCAGTAACTTTTTTCATTAATATTTTTCTAATGATTATATGCTGAAATATTTAAAATATATTTGGTTCAATAAAATATACTATTAAAATTAATTTCACCTGCTTCTTTCTACTTTTTTAATGTGGCCACTAGAAAATGTTAAATTACATATGTGGCTTATGTCATATTTCTATTGGACAATGGGTTCCTAGTGGAAAACTGGACTCAAATCTTAAAGCAGACTTTAGTCTCTCATTTTCAGGGTAACAGGTCAAAATTAACAACAAAACAAAAAACGGATGGTATCTGTGGCACAGACTGAGAGTTGCCTCTATTTCCAGCAAAAGAACTGTATTTTCTACAAGGGGTGATTATGAGACTAAATTTTGGTCTATGAGATATAACTGGAAGTTTGTACATGTGTGCCTTTCAGGAAGTCTCCTTAAATTAGAGGTGGCCTGCAAGTCTTTCTTCCCCACCCACCTCAACATCCTATTGCATGGAATGTGGATACAGTGGCTGATGCTCTAGCAGCCACCCTGAACAACAAGTTTTAAGGTTACAACTTAGACATTACAAGGCGGTGAGTTAGAAAGATTCCTGACCTATGTGCAAATCTCTTCTACTTGAGAGAGAAATAACTTTCCATGGTGTTTAAGCTAGTGTTCTATTTGGATTTTTCCATTCTATGCTGATTGGAAACTGACCTTTGGGTTATTCTGGACAGACTCTACCAGCAAAGACAGCTTCTTCTGCAGCTCCTGCAAGTCCTTTGAAGTACTCGGGGGCTCCTCTTTCGCCATCCTGAAACCCACTTCAGTCTCTTTAGGGATTAATTCTACCAGTAAGCTCTTCAGCGCAGGGCCCAGTCAAATCTCTCATGTCACCTTGTTTCTTGCTGTCACTGCAGGAAATGAAAAGCATGTTCAACCATCAGTGGTCTTCACCCAGCTGGCCCCACAAGAACTTTTACTATCCTCACACACTGATGGTGGGCATGCAGGTGGAGGGTAACTTGGTTATATCTATCAAAATTTCAAATTATACACACCTTGATCCAACAATTTATTTTCCAGGAACCCAAAGGAAATAATCGAACAGGTCTATCAAAACATATCAAAAGGATGTGCAGTACATCCCTGTTTATAATACATAAGAAATAGCAAAACAATGGAAAGAAGCTAACTGTCCATTAACAGGAAATATGTTAAATAATAATAAATTCATTCAATAGAGTACTGTATAGCCATTGATAATGTAGATATTTATTTAGTGAAATAAAAATACCTATGTGAAAAAATTATCAAATACTACAGTTACATATCTCATGTATATATCCATATTATAAAGTATGTATGTATACTTATGTATTTTATGTATATACCCATAGTAAAATAAAAGATCTAAGACATATAACAAAATGTTAATGGTATTATCTCTGACAGCTTATGTTTATTTTTTTAGCCTGACTAACGCTGAAAAGAGTATGGCAGAAAGTAAGAAAGCTGACTACACTATTTCAAGTCCCAGTGCCTTTTTTTCCCCCAGAAAACCTTTCTCAAACAAGCAATGGCGGCCAATTTCTTTATTTACTACCCACAATAAACAGTTTAGCTCCCAATTACATTGTGCCAAAAATTACTCTCTATTTACTTGTGTGTAAGTCTCTTCTTAACAAGGCAGGAGCCTGGGGACAGGCTTTGCCACAAACATATCCTGTGATTCAACAGACTGGAATTTCAGGACTTTCTCAATCTCTCATTATTATTTATTTTTAATAAAAGATATTTGTTAAGTTAGGTGTCTAGCTTTAAAACCCTTTTTGATCCTCATATACACAAATATATTGTTCTTAGATTTCTCAGAACAACTGTACAGCTGGACACGGAGATACCTTTTCCAGTTTTCCTTTACAACTGATCTCCTGATCTAAAGCACAAATACCAAAAAGATTGTCACAATGGACAAAATTAACTGAGATAACTCATATTTATTTACCATACTGAATATCCCACACGCTAATTATGAGTTGGGAGGACGTATTTCCTAATATCTACAGGGTCCAGTAACAAATTAAAGCACATTTTAATCATCCCGGCTAAAGATTCTCTGCTACAATCCGTTTTGTGAAACACGAACCCCTTGGACGAGCGAGGACTAGTACCTCCACCCCATATTCTATCTTTGAAGCTGCAGCGAGCACAGACTTGAACTTGTGATACTCCCAGGGCTCATTCGCCAACCTCAAATCTGCAACAGGCAGAAACAAGACCAGCTCCCAGGGCCTTAGAAACCCCAGGGCCACCCGGACCGGTTTGGGGAGGCCAATGGAGCCGAGCGTGGGCAGAATGCTATGGGCCACAGCCGCCGAATGCATCCACCTGGCCAGCCCCAGACACTCCAGTCACTCACTCCTTGGAGGGGCCTCCCCAGGCACCGAGAAGTCTCCGGAGGAAGGAGGATCGCGCAGCACACAAAGTTCCCCGCCTTCTCCGCGTTTTCCGGGCTGAGCCGCGAGAATACCCGCCGCCCCGCCCCGCCCCGCCCCTTCCACGGTACCCTCCCCTACCAAAAGCCCCCGGCTCTTCCACGGCAAACGGAAACCCAGAATGTTGCAGCTGGGGTGGGGGGAGTCGCACCCGACGCGGGAGGGGGAGGAGTCGCACCCCACGCAGGAGGAAGCCTCCGCGGGGCGCTTCGGGCCTATCCAGGCCTCCTCTTTCCCATCTGGTTCCAGTCTCTCAGTCTTCGAAGACTCGAAAAGGGGCAGGCACCCAGTTTCTCCGGATCTAAGGAGAGGAGAAAAGAGGGTGATGCAAGTAGAGAGGGGGCTGGACGCCCGAAAAGGCACCGAGGCTGAGAAATGGGAGCTCAGGGGGGAGTTAATTTGAGAAGAATCCACCTTTGGTACTGGGAGCGCTCCTCTCTCCCAGGAGCGGGTCCAGGGAGAGGCGGGTCCAGGGTAGAGAAGAGGAACCCGGTAGGGAGGAAAGCACCCATTTTCATTGGTCCTAAGGAGAGAGTTTGGAGACTCCCCAGCCAGGTTTCCCAACAAGGAGCAGGATCTCCGGCATGGGATGGGAATGGAAGCCCGTTTACCAAATGTGGACGTCGGTGTATCAGTGTGTGTGCGCGCGCGTGCTCCCAGCTTTCCCAGGGGCTCGGAGAGATGAGGCTCCCCTTATTAACAAACGGCGGGCTGACGGCTTCAGGCGTGGGGCACCGACTATCCTCTCACACCACCGTCCCCGCGCTTCTCCATTAGTCCCGGCCGGGTGAGGGGGGGTCCGGCCAGCCGGGGCACCCGGGCCCCTCGCTCCAGAGCTGCCAGCTCTCACCTAGTTCCGACGGCCGCGGAGCAGAGCGAGGCGGGAGCAGAGCGAGGCGAGAGCAGGAGGAGGAAGGAAAGCGCGGCGGGGCAGGGCGGGGTCCCGAGCGGAGCCGGCGCCTTCCCCTCCCCTCCCCCCCTCCCCTCC